TTTTTTTTTTTTTTTTTTTTTTCTTTTCTTTTCTTCTCTACACTTGCTTTAGGGACTATACAAGATTTTTAAATTTTTTAAAAGATAGCATATATCTCCTATGTCAGGGAAAGTCAATTTTTAGTTAAGCGTAAAGATGAATTCATTATATACTTAAAAAATAGAAGCAACATTTTAGTTCAATTTTTACTTTATTGAACAATTTGAAAACTGATCTATATCATTTTAAGAATGATTTCTTTTACAGTTAAATTAAGCCACAATGATCAAAGGGAAAAGATGAAAGACATTTCCCGAGAATGTGCTCTGAAAGCCATTGAACAGAAAAACTTACTTTCTTCACAAAGGAGAGATTTAGAAAAGGGACAAAGGAAAGATGCAGGCCGAAATAAAGGTAAGAGCTTATAGTATTCATTTTAAAGGGAATGCTAGAAATCTTATTTTAAAATGACTTTTATAACTCCAGTATACTTTAATACAGTGTCTGTATATTTACTTATATTTTATATATTATATACTTAGTATATTTTATGTTTTTCAGATTTCTTTACTGTACCTACACCAAATCTTAAAGTGTAAACTTTTCCTTGCTTTTATTTAATTCTAACTGGATAGTAGTGTTTTTATTTTGATGTTTTAACTTTATTTTTCTTTCTAAATACTGTTCACTTACATGTTGCATTCACATAATGAGAAAGTTGTAAAATCTTATTATGGACACAACATAATTTAATTGACACTGATAGACTTTAAATATTGATTAGTGGGTGGCATCCTTTCACCTATGCTTTTGTATATTTTTGTGAATAGCCAAAGGATAAAATTCTTTCAGAGGAGTTGCTGGGTCAGAGAACCTATATTTCTGGTTTTGACAGATAGGACTTAGTTGTCTCCTAAAAGATTAAACCAGTCTACCCTCCCACAAATGATGATTGCATATCTCTTCACTCAGCAGTGATTGGTTCTATAAACTTTTAAATACTTACCAATTGAAGAGATGGAAAATATTTTATGATAATTGTTAATTATGACTAAGAATGTTTAGTTTAAAAAATTAGTTTTATTTTATGGTCTACCTTAGAGTCTCATCTTATGATCTACCCTTTTTTTTTTTCCAAAAGTACATTTCTTCTATAGTGCCACTTAGTAAGTATAATTAGAAACTGGTAAAGCATTTTTTTCTCAAAGCAGTAGGATATAATTTGATTTTTGTTATTTACCTGTGATGGCTGGCTTCTGAAATTATTTACCTTGTGATTATTACATTGCCTTAGAGTAATAGAGGATAATTCATTTGTGTCTTTAATCATCATCCTCATTATTGTTGTTATTTAGATTTAGTTGATGAAAACATCCCGCAGTTCAAGTCTGGATCACCTCCTGCCCTAAATAGCTTTAGACAATGTGAAAATCCACATCTATATCACAGTCAAGGAAGAGGACCCTATAAACATGATCGAATTTCCCATCAGAGTCGAGCTTCTGGACAAATAACAACTTTGGGCAAATCTCAGATTCTTGATCCAGGAGAGAAAATAACAGGCAAAGTTAAGAATGACATTGGCACTGGATACGACACAGACAGCAGCCAAGATTCTAGGGATAAAGGAAGTGGCTGCAACAGCAGTAGTAAAAGCCGGAACCGAGGTTGGAAACCTATGAGAGAGACATTAAATGTCGACAGTGTTTTTAGTGAAAGTGAAAAAAGACAACATAGTCCAAGACATAAGTCAAATGGTGGTAACAAACCTAAAAGTAGGAAAGATCAGAGTTTTAATAACTGGCCAAAAGAGAATCCAAGGCAGAAAGGTTTAATGACCATATATGAAGATGAAATGAAACAGGAAATAGGATGCAGAAGTTCCCTTGAATCAAATGGAAAAGGAACAGAGAAAAATAAAGGCATCATAGAGAGTAAAGTTCATGGTGAAAACTGGCAGATGCAAAGAACTGAGTCTGGATATGAAAGCAGTGATCACATCAGTAATGAATCTGCCAGTTTGGACTCACCAGTTATTGATGGAATTGGTACAGTAATGGATGTCTGTGGTGCTAAAGAACAGGTATCTTTCAGGTAATACACAAATTGAAAGAATGATTTTTCCCTCACATTCCTCTCTTGTGAATTATTTGAATTTTCAAAGTTTGGGGTCAACTAAGTATAAAGGAAAGATTATTAAAGAAACATAGACTATCAGTTTTTAGTTACTTCCTGACTCCAAAAATAACATCTATTTATTTTTAGGAAATTTGGAAAGTAAATGCATGACCATTGTTTCTATCACTGATAATTATTCATTTGTTCTACAGCTTTTTAAAGTATAGGCTTAAATTGGCTTCAACTCAGTAAGCTGATTAATTCTTTAATCTGTATGAACCTCATTATCTCATTGCTAATATTTTAACCCTGAACTGAGGCTGTTTTCCATTGTTACAGTGCAGTTCCCTGGAAGAGATATTTTCCCTTTAGCAAATATTTAAAGAAATTTAGCCAAATAACTAAATTTGTATTCAATTAATTTGGAATATGTAAATTCTAATGTGTATTTGGACTTCTTTTTGTAACTTCTAAAACATGCTTCTAGGTTGATGGCTCCTTGCTTACCACTTTTTGTACTTGTAATCCTTTTAAAATACATTAGCTCGTGCCTGACCACATTCATAAGTAAAATGCTACATTTACAAAAATTAGTCATGTTTTAATAAAGTTATTGTTTCTGTAAAAAGTTAAAGACATTTTTTGATTTTACGACACTTTTTGGGAAGAAGCAGCCAGCAGTAATAGCCAGGACAGGACATTGTAACCAAATGGACTTGCATTTTAATTATTGGGTGAATTAATTTGATTTTCATGGCATAGCCAGGACAGGACATTGTAACCAAATGGACTTGCATTTTAATTATTGGGTAAATTAATTTGATTTTCATGGCCTAATCTTCTATTGTAACAGAGAATCATAACTTACTTTTAAATGCTGTGAGCTGTAAATTAAATAAGGTACATTAAGCCTATAAGATATTTTGTGACATATAATTTTTAAAAAGTTTTTCTTTTCTTTTTCTTAGAGCAAAATCATCCATAATAATTGATGTGTTTTGTGTGTTGTTCTATTTTTCTAGTGACCAAATTAAGACAACCAGCATAAATGTAGAACCTGTGGACTATACCTCCCATCAGAACAAAAAGCACTTGGAAGGTAAAAGTTTTATTTAACTATACTGTAATATTTGCAGTAAAGAATAAATTGTAGTAATTTATTGTTTCTTGTTTTGATGTACCTAAAAGACTATATAGCTACAAAATTATTTTTAAATAACTTTAAATATCAAAAAATTAATTATTTTAAAGCAATGTATGTATCATATTGTAATAAAGTATAAAAGGGAAGAAATCAAACTGTTATATGTGTATACTTTCTATTCATGCTGTATTTTTGGCATCTTATTTGATTAATTAAATATGCTTTTGAAGTTTATAGCCTGCTTAGATGTACTTTTTAGATATTCTTTAATGTTACAGTGTTAATTAGAATGCTTGCTTTTTCTACTCAGATAATGAAATCTTTGAATCCCCTGCACTCCAGTAGCAAGCAGCTTGCATTTTGTTTTTGTAGGAGAGACCTTTCAATATGTTGCTTTTGGTACATATCTTGACAACAGTCTTGGGTCTTGGGACTCAAATAGGCAGGGGTATCTATCTTTGGCAGCTTCTTAACACTTTATTTTTACTTGAGAGGTGGCATTTTTCTACGTTTGCACAATTGGTCTGTTTTACTTTATCTCCCCTCTCCATTTTTTAAATAACAGACATGTGAGATAGTTACACATTTTCCCCTGAGATAAGAATAAAGAAGAAAAAGGGAGTAGCTAACTTGTGCCACGCCTCCCTGGCAAGTGCAAGGTCCTGAGTTTGAGCCCCAGTATGAAAAAAAAAAAAAAGAAGAAAGAAGATAAGAATAGTCTTTTTGTTTAGAAGCAACAAGGAAAGAAGGAAAAAAGTAGTAGAGTTTGTCCTTGAAGGGTTTTCATGAATGAGAATTCCTACTTCAGGCAGTAAGCAAAGGGGGACTGGCCTAAGGTGGTCTAGATTCCAAAACATGCAGTAACAGTAACTTCAGGTATATCTCTGTCTTGTTCCAAGTTTGTTTCTTGCTTATGATGCATGTCTAGTGGAGGTCAGCATGGAGTACCTTCTAGCATCACAGACCCCTAGAATAATGATGGGCTTCAAGGAGGATACAAAACAATCATTTGTAAACTCTGAACACTTCAAACCAGAAATGATACACTGCACTTGTACTTACAACCTACTGGCCCAGGCATGTCTTTTAACCAGGCCTAATTTCAAGAAGGGTAGAAAAGTACAGTCTTGTAGGTGAATAGCAGGATAGGTACAGCTCTAATGGTTGCCACAGGGGTTAAGAATACAGTTAAAAAAGATTGGTGTGAAACATTCTGGAAAAATTCATTTGAGAAATAATAAATATATGATCATGTGGTTGGTATGTAAGGTGATTTCCTAGCAATACACAGCAGCTTGTAAGGAAAGAATAAGTTTGAGTGTATATAGGATACAGGATTATTATTGGTAAGATATACTTGAGGAATCTGCGGGAGAGGAAGACGATAGCAAGAGGGTTATTGATATAATCAAGGACAGTGTTTTCAAATTTTAAAATTCAGAGGGAAAAGTATATAATTTTCATGGGAAAAAACAGCCATGAATAACAAACTTTAAAGTTCTTAGTCTTTATCATTCTTAAAGTTTCTAGAGAGATTATTTTTCAAGTTACAGACATGATTAGTATGATTAATTGTCCAATTACTTTGTTTTCATCAAATGTATAATATCAGAAGGAAACACTTAAGGAAATAACTTTCCTTTCCCATATTAAAATGTCTTGCCTGTTTTAAAAATCTGATAAAAGTCAGAAACCAAATATTACAGGAAACAGTAAAGGGTTGGCTAGAAATCACAGCAAAAGTCAGTGAGTTAGAACAATAACGGCAAGTTAAGTAAATGATGCTTGTTTCCTGATAGTTATAAAAACACAAGGTCATTGAGCTTTTAGTGATCAAGAGTGCATTGCTCTAAGAGTTCTGCAGTGGTTTTCCCAATGAATATGAAAGAGTATGTATATTAAGCACCAATTTAAAATGTATTTTATTGAGGTAAAATATACATAACAAAATTTACCATTCTGATTATTTTTAAGGGTATAGTTCAGTGACATTCAGTACTTTTACATTGTTGTGTGCCTGTCACCACTATCCACCTCTCACGCTTTATGTTCTCACACTGACACTCTCTTCCCATTAACAACTCATTTGCATTATTCCCTTCCCCCACACCCTGGCAACCACCATTCTTTCTGTCCCTGAATTTGTCTACTCTAGATGCCTCATATAGTTAAGAGTAATATGGTATTTGTCCTTTTTGTATCTGGCTTCTATTACATTCAGCATACTGACTGTTTGTAATATATATCAGAACTTCAATTCCTTTTAAGGCTCAATAATAATCTATTGTATGATATACTCCATTTTGTTTACTGTTTATCTGCTGATAGACATTTGAGTTGTTTTGGCTCTTGCGAGTAGTGCTGCTGTTACCATCGGTTTGCAAATACCCTGTTTAAGTGTTGTGTTTTGTTTTTTTGAGACAGGGTCTCACTATATAGTTGACTCTGACCTGGAACTCACTATGTAGCCCAGGCTACATAGAACTCACAGTGATCCTCCTGCCTCAGCCTTCTGAGTGCTGGGATTACAGGTGTGTGCCACCATGCCCAGCAATAACCTGTTTAAGTTTTTTGAGTGCCCACAAGCAGAATTGGATCCAGTAGTATTTCTATAATTAATGTCTTAAGGCACCACTACAATGATTAACACAGTCTCAGCACCACCATGTTGAATTACCACCAGCAATACACAAGGGTTCCAATTTCCTCATATCTTTCCCAACACTTATTTTGTAATTGTTTTGAAATACTTTGAAGTAGTTTCTGTGGCCACTTTTTATTTAGTTACATAAATTGCACTGTTTAAAAGTTATGTCTTAATAAACTTCAAAGCTACCATAGTTCTCTGTGCTCTTTTTGATTTGAGAGCCTTTGTCAGTGAAGCAATATGTGATATATCTGTATATGTTTCCTTCCCCTGAAGCAGAACTGAGAATATTTGAAAAATGATACAGGACTTTTTCCCCAAGCTAAAGTTTTGCCCTTTGTTTTTTTTTTTAATTTTTTCTTCCATATGAAAAAAATTAATTCTTTGTCATCGTATATGATTTTCTTGGTTCTCTCCATTTTTTTATTTACAAACTATAGCACACTAACATTACTGGCCTATAAAGTGATTTTCTATCAGAGGCTGGAAAATTTTAAAACTTAAGGAGCCATAGAATTTTTTTTCATATTTTGCTTGACATTTAAGTTGGTTTTTAATATTAATCTGTACAAGTATTGATGGTAAAGACCCAAAATCCATACTAATGTCATTGTGATTGTTTTGTTGTTTTCATTAACATAGAGAGATATTATATAGGCTTTCCTGCTTGTAGCTTTTTGGGTTCTGCTGCAAAAATTATCCCTACACTGTGTAGAGGTATTATTTGGGAATATTGCTGAAAGTGCCACAGTGCCATTTGCAATGTTTTAGTGCCTCTTTTAAAATGAATTTCTAGTGAAGGGATGTCAAATGCCTTAAATTCATAAGAAGATAGAGAAAAGGGTATGACTGGTGATACATTCAGAAGCATGTGATGAGAAGAAAGTGTGACATATTTGTATAACAAGTGGTTTAGCATATGCAAGGCTGGAGTGCAAACAGAAATCATGCAGTAATGAATGCAAGAGGGGTAAGATTCAATCCTACAGGAAGTGGAGAGCTACAAAAGGGCAGGAAGAGTGGCATATTGCAATTTGTATCTTAGAAGACTCTCTGATAGCAGTGTAGAGGGTGAAGTCTGAGCAATGGAAGAAAAATTATATGACAATTACCATAGCCTAAGAAAGAAAAAGTGAGGGCATGAACTGAGGCAGTCCCAATGCCCAAAAAGATTATTTGAGAGGTGACAAGCACATATGAGCAGGAGAATAAGTTGCCTTTTATGAAAGACGAACAGAATGGGGGGTGGGGCTGTGATAGCTGTATTTGGGGCTTGTACAACTTGGTACACCACTTAGCAAAATGGGGAACATAGGGAGAATTGACAGGTTTACGAGGTAGAAGGATGCTATGTTTATCTTAGGATTTGTTGATTTCACCATTTAAGTAAATAAATGTTATTAAGCAGTTGAGAACATAAATGTCGGGGTCAGGAAAAAATGTTTATTCTGTAACCATCACCATATCTGGGACAAGACAACTCAGGAAAACTTGAGATTACAGGGAAAAAACATAGATGAAGTAGGGAAAATGGGCTTTACTGAGGAAAAAAAAAAAAGTAAGTCAGAGCTAGAGAGAAGGAGCAACTGCAGAAAGACATGGAAGAATACCAGAGAGGAAGTCACCCAGGAAAATTAGAAATGGAGAGTGTAAGCAGAAGCATGGCCACCCGTGAAGGAGAATAAGGATTAAAAAGTGCCGGTTTGACTGAACACTCACTAGTGATAGACTAAAAGCAGTGTTGAAAGAATATTAGAAGTAGAAAGAAGGTAGAATTAGAAGTGCAGAATTTGGCATGTTATAACTTCTAAATGGTTCAGGAAAAAGAAAACTAAAATGTGAATATTAGGTGCTTCCGGATAAAGGACATTTAGGTATTCTTTATACAATTCTGCACAATTATTTACAGACAAAATTGGGGGAAAAGATTACAGTAGAATTCAAAGGAAAAAGTGAATTTTGTTGAAATCATGATTCTGAATTTAACAAAGAGGCAGTGTCTAAAGCAAAAATAAAACGAAGTGCTCAGTTTTGGTTTTATTTTTTATTTTTTCTTAAATGGAGTGTCTTGGACATTTATATTACAGAAGGCAAATAACTGATGAAGCACAAAAGAGAAAGATGTGAAGAGCGGAACAGAGCAATAATTGATGGTTTAGGGTCCTTGAAGTAGTATTGGAAAGAAATGAAGAACATAGAGAGACAGGCTTTCAGTTAAAGCATTGGCAGGTTTTGCTTAGTTATTTGTATTAGTTGCTTCAGTTGAAGTAGTTCATACCTAGTGGACTGTTTTTCACTATGAGGTAAG